CAGCACTCGCCCCCCCCCCCCCCCAAATTATACCTTATTATACATTTCCTTTTGTATGTTTTTTCATCTAATCCAGATATGAACTGTCAGTCTTAATAATGTGATACCATGTGGCAGAATTGAGGCTCCATTTTGTCATATGTCTGAGTAGCTGTCATTTTGTTCTAGCTCTTTTCCTGCTTGCCAATTAAAGCCAGTATTTTGGTACCAGGTTGGGAGAGGAGGACTGTTAATTTACCTAGCAACTTTCCCATGACTGAAGAAAATTGCCATAATGAAAGCAGCTCTAGGATTACAGTTTCCTGCAGCTAATGAGGGTATACTAACATAAGTCGACCAGACCTGTGCCTTGTTGAATTTTATTGTCTCTCCCCACAATGCTTAGTAAGGTATAAGAACCAGAATGAGCCTCTCTCCAGACATAGCCTTCCTTCCTCAAAATTCTAAGTCTTCAGTCTTTTGGCTGCTTTCTCCAACATCCTTAAACAATAACTGCTTTTAAATTACCTGAAGCCTTGGGATACAGTTTATGTCGGCATCTGTTTCCTGTTTTCCCCCACTTTGTTTCTTTCAAGGTTGTTTTTGCTTTCCTTATTCCAACTGCACACAAAGATACATCTTACTCTTAAGTCATGGTGACTGTATGAGAACATCTGTGTATTTTGGTTTTTTGTTTTGTTTTTTCCCCAGAGAACACAAAAACTACCCTACTGTGTTAAATGCCCCTCTAGTCTAGCCTAGTACTGTTTCTGATATTTTCTGGTGAGTGATACTTCAAATATGGTATGATTGCTCCAATGTTACACCCTTCTTGATCACCAATTTGGGCTTTTCTGAGCTGGAGGAGGCTCCTGGACCATTAAGCTTTAATAGCTGCCTACAGACCTACACTCCATGAGTTTGTGTAGTCCTGGTTCGAATCCATTTATGCTTTTAGCCTCATGACATTCCATGGCAGTAAGTTTTGCAATTTCATTATGCACTGTGTGGAAAAAGTACTTCTTTTTTTTTTCTTTATTTTAAACCTGCTGTCTGGTAATTCCATTATGTGCCCCTTAATTCTTATTTTGTGAGGAAATGTTCTTCACACCATTCATGATTTTGTAAGCTGTTCATGAATGGATAACTTCTGTTTTCTGAGCTGGAGAGTACAAATCTGGGAGAGCCATGAGCGATTAGAAGTCGTCCTGTTGTTCTTCTCCATGTGTTTTGTAGAGCACGTACAATTCAAGGTGCAAGTGCCCAATGATTTACGTTGCTGTGTTCTCTCCAACCAGATAATGATACTCTTTGTCTTTTTAACCATTGCTGATGGTTGATGTGGTAACGACAGAGGGCTACCCACAAAAAACGTAAAAAAATTAATCTGTGTGGTAATAATAGAATAGATCCTATAATTCTATATGTGTATAGTTAGGGTATGCATATTTTTTTTTGTGTGGGTAACTTCACACTTTCCATCATTCAAATTCATCTGTGATTTTATTGTGTAACGATTTATAAACTCTGCATGTCCTCAAGTGTAGATCATGCTGTCTGGGATCACTTTCTATTGTCTGCATATTCTTGAAAGGACTGCTTTTATTAAAACAGGTATCATACTCTCTCTGAACATGGTTTCTCTGTCTTTAAATTTCACATAGTTCTTCCTGTATGGATGAGAGCTGGCTTGGAAGCCATTCATCAACAGTAGAAAACTGGCTGACTGCTATAAAGCCCTTGAGTTACTATTTCATTTTAAGGAACTTACAGGCTGCCTTAAGGAAGCAGTGTAAGGCATGGGGTGGGTTGACACTGACACTTGGTGTACAATTGTTCTGTTCAAACAGGAATGTGTTTAAGCCATATCTGCTATCCTAGAAGAATTACCAGTAGTTATGCTGTAGCTTGCTGGTGAAATGTTTCTGCTGTGAATATAGTCATAAGTGTAAAGACCACTAGAAGGAAAGTGGTCTGTCCTTTACTCATAAGAAAATCAAGCTGGACCTGCCTCTTCATAAAGGCTTCCTGCTGGTACAGGTTTTTCCTTCTGCACTTCTAGCTACTCTGCCAGAAGGCTACAATGTAAAGTTCCCCATAAGTGTTCTTTCTATTCACATCTTCCCCCCTTAAATTTAAAAAGCAGCATTTTCCTTGCAATGTTGAATACTTGTATTAATACACATGCAAAAAACCCTATTCTACACCTTCTCTGTAAGGTAGAGTGGGTGAATTTGAAGTAGGACTTGCTTGAAAACAGGCATGTAGTCTATTTACGAGGCCTCTGAGAGGCATGGAGCTGTCAAATATACATGTTCTGTGGGTACATCCTGCCTTTCTGAAGCAGCAGCAAGGGACTGGGGAAGAAACTAAGTCATCTCAAATGGCACTAGATGCATGTGTTTAGACAACCAAATCACATATATTGTGTATTGCTTGAAATTGAGGGTTACTGGAGCTTGCACCTTGCATTGGTGCAAGGTACAAGCATTGGTACACTTCTCCCAAGTAACCAGTGATAGGACGAGAGGAAATGGCCTCAAGCTGTGCCAGGGGAGGTTTAGATTGGATATTAAGAAAAATTTCTTCACAGAAAGGGTAGTCAAGCATTGGAACAGGCTGCCCAGAGAGGTGGTGGAGTCACCATCCCTGGAAGTGTTCAAAAAATAGGTAGATGTGGCACTGTGGGACATGGTTTAGTGGGCACAGTGGTGTTGGGTTGATGGTTGGACTGATGATCTTAGAGGTCCTTTCCAATCTTAATAATTCCTAGTTTTTACTTTCATTATAAATAACCCAGCCGCCAAGCCAGGAAACATGAAATTGCTACTCTACCCTGAATTGGTTTAGTGGTGGACTTGGTAATGTTAGGTTAATGGTTGGACTGGATGATCTTAAAGGTCTTTTCCAACCGAAATGATTCTATGATTTCCAGCTGGTGCTGGGGTAGAATTTGTGGCTTGAATTTTGCTGTTTGCATGGTAGCACTCTGCAATATCAGGTACCTGCTGCACTAGGCATCAGGGAGGCTTCTAAATTCTGTCTGTGTGGAAAGTAAACTTGTAGTGAAACAAAAGAAGTCCAGAAATAAAAGCAGCACGGTGCCTATGCAAGCCAAGTTTTTCTGAACTTTCTCTGTGGTTTTGATCTATCATTTCACTTGAGTATCCGGAATATGGAACGTAATTCTCTTTTGCACTAGTGTTAGTAAATCAGTGATGAGGAGTCATCTAGGTTAATAACTGAATGCTTTTCCATGCCTATAGGGGCTATGCAAATGAGGAGCCTGTGACTGAGTGCATTACTGGGAGCTGTCTGTATTAAGCCAGTTACTTAGCCTTTATTTTGCGGGATCATAGGTGTGAGAATCCAGCTATGAATGTAAGCTTCAGCTGCCTGTGTATGCCCCCTTAGTGTGATCTTCAGTGTTCATGTACTTCCTAGAACTGTGTAAACCTGTCTAGATTGTACCTTCTCTGGTACAAAGCCAATTCCTGTATTGGTGCAGAATATGTATTTTTTTTTCTTCAGTTTATGCAGAGTAATAGGTCTGTAGTTAAAGTGTATTAGAAGTCCACGTCGTATATTACCAAATAACTTTGTGGATAAAATTGTGGAGCACTATCTGTTACTGAATATTTCTCTATTGGGTTGGTTTTTTTGGCATCAAAATTGCTGTCACTGAAAGCAGTAGAATGGATATTACTTTTCTTGCAGATTTTATAGCACCCGGAAGTGTGCAAGATATTTCATACTGCAAGTATAGTACTACTCACCTGCCCAAAGAGCTTCAGGGTTTGTCTTCACCAAAATTTTCCAGTTACAATTGTGTAAATACATCAGCCCAACAGGCTTGCCTGTTGGAAGCAGAACTTGTTTCAGGAGGGAGATTCCTGGCAACTGGCTTGTCTGCCTTTGTTTCCAACTGGTGCTGCATTCCTCAGTAATTTTTAACTTGTGAAACATGAAACATTTTTTCACTGTTCTTTGGGGGCTGTGTTTGCGCCCCCCCACTCCCCCCCCCCCCCCCCGCAATGTTGAAAAGAGAGTGCAGAAGTGCAGATTTCTCACCGTGGCTTGCAGCAAAAACCAATTTGTTCCATTTTGTCCCTCTGGTGTCTTTGACTTCTTCAGTGCAGAGCTGTTGAATGTGTTTCTTCAGTTTTGCTATTATGGAGAAAGATGGCCATGTCATACTGTCTCCTAGTCTGTAGTTAACTCACCTTTACAAGTAAGCACATGCCAAATTTTGTCAAAAGCAGTGAGGCCTTCATGAATGTGGTTCTGAGAAATTTCTTGACTACTGCTGGGATCTGTGTGGTTTTTTTAATCTTCTGTTACAGAAGTAAATTCTGTTTGGGTGTTTTTGGTGAATAAGTTGCCACAGAGCTTTAAAGTGCTGACAGCTCCCATCTTGACAGCAGACTTTTCTTTCATGAACCTTAAGTTGTTGTACTTGCGTAATAAGAATCCTTTGAGTTAAGGTTTCTCTGTAATTTAACAGTATTTTTGACCCCGTTAAAGTTAGTATATCTAAGACCAAAATGTGTTTTCAAGTCTAGGTATAAATTAAAGGCTTCATGGCATTTCAATTCCCTAGTGTGAAGTATTGTGAAAAGGGAACAGGATGAAAATGCATTGCTTTTATTTTCAGTCCAGTCTCTTAACATTTTATTGATTTGTTTGTCTACATTTTCTTCTTTTCTAGAGTTTTAGAATGCCAAGGGCTGCCCATTGTGAACGGGCAATGTGATCCCTATGCCACCGTTACCTTAGCAGGACCCTCCAGGCAAGTATTGCACATACAAGAGCTTCCAATTTGTAAGGATGGTTTCCGTTTCCTTTGTGTATTAGAAATCTGCATCCTCAGATGGACAGATGGGAGTATTTAGACACCACTAGAATATGTTAAGTGTTTGTGTGTGCATGTATGAACTACTGAATTATACTAGAGAAAGTAATTGGAGGCTTGTTTCAGTTTTGATTTATGTAAAGGTCTGAATAATCCCTGAATAATTTGAATATCCTGGAGTATGTAATTTGTGGTTAGGCTTAATTTGTGCATCTTCTCACCTCACAGTTGGAGGCCAGTTTTTAAGCAAATTTATTGCTTAATTTTGGGCAGGGGCAGAAGAGGAAGCTGAATACATCAACATCTTGCAGTGTATGCACATTTGTATGTGAATATTTAGAGTATTTTCACTTTCAAGGTGTGGCAAATTAATGTGTATTTTGAAAGCCCTAGGTGGATAAAATTTGGAATGCAGTTCTAGTAATGAGATTCTGCATAATACTCTTCAGTTTAAATTTGGGATTAAATTTTTCTGTTCTGTTATAAAAAGTTCCCGTGCTGTTGGATGTCACTGTTTTGGTTTTGCTTATCTAGACTCATCTTTTATGTCTGTGCCATGTTAGAAACAAAACAGCTCTGCTGTGATCTCAAAGAATCAGATTTGGTAGCATGGGTTATTTATAATGTTTTACAACAATTTATTGAAAATACTGTAAATAAGATGCATTCTTGATGAATACTTACCTTGCATGCAGAGGAGTCTTTGAGACTGGTCCGTATTTTTCATCTTTGTCTAGGTGTGTTATGCCTTATATCCATTAAGGAGCTGTATAGTTGAATTATACGCTTTGATGTTTTAACCCTGCAACTTGTTTCAGATGGTACTGGGTGGCTATTACTGACACTCTAAAGAGATTTTTAGACTAACCCTTGTATCCCTGAATGTCCAAATTTACCTTTCTTTGTCTGCTTCCCTCCGTCCCCCAGTCCAGATGATGTATGACAACTGATAACATATTTTCCTTCAGAAAATAAGACTATGCTCGCCTTATCCTATTCCTATCTGGTTTTTGGTGGGGGGATAAGGCTTGCCTCCTATCTTCAGCAAGCAGCATGCAGCTTATTCCCATCCACTGGTTTGTAATTGCCCAATAATTGTGCTTGCCTTAATCACCTCCCGTTCTACATCCTGCTTCCCAGTCCCCTCCCAGATGGGCTTATCGGTAAAGAGGCTGATTGGCAGGTGTGACTGATGAGATGGGATAGGCAATCTGCCCTATGTCCTGGAGGCGATTAGTCTCTCTTATCTCTCAGCTCCTCCTAGGAATAGTGGGATATTCTTAATCTGTATGCCATTCTCCTCTCTGGATTTTTCAATGCCTCTCCTTTTAGAGTAGGAAAGCTGCTTTATTCTGCCGCATTTATGCAGTGCCAAGCATAAAAATTTCAACAAATGTGTTGCTGTTTACTGTGTGATTTGTACTTAGAGAGCCATCAGACTTCCTGACCAAAACCATTTCCATGCCTGTATTATATATGGGAAAACACTGTATACTGGTGGACTGGACCATTTAAGTCACACAGGAAGCCTATAGCAGTACTGGGAATTAGACCCAGCTGTACTTGACCTCTGTAAAAGAATACATAGCGTTGTCCAGTTAATATAATCTGTTACAAGCTATCTAAGCAGCTTTGTTGCATGAGAAATGAGGGGTAGATTCTGGGATGAAATGATTAGTAGGTCAGTTTTCCACATGGCTTATGCACCTCTCCATCTGTGTCTGTTTTATCTATGCCTTCTTATTACTGCAGAGCTGTAGGGCAAGATCGGTGACACAGGATGACAGAGAGCTTTTCACTTGTAGGTAATGAGAACAAATCAAGCATAGGTTCATAACACTTGGAAATGATCAAACAGCTGGTGGCCAGTCTGTGTGAAATGTGTTGGCTGGCTTTAGCCCAATGCCAAGCAGTTAGATGTCTATATTCTAAAAGGCAGGTGGATGGCACTGTCCATAGAGGAGGAATGGGCAGTGCTGAACTTTGTCAGGCCTATTGCCCAGTGAGTGGTTGGAAGGAGGTCTGCCATGACTTGTTCCTACAGAGCAGTAGAAATTAAGAGACTTCTGCTTAGCACCGCTTGTAATAATTCAACAACATAACATTAACTAAGTGCTGTTGGGGCTGCAGGGAAAATGGTGGTAATATAGGAATAAAAATATTCTTACTGAGGAGATAATTCTGGGTTTTTTGATTATTAACACCACTGAAAAGCATTCATTGATTCCTCAGACCCGGGTTATAAGAGATAAAACACAGAAATAGCTAATGTCAGTCTTCCTGTCTCCTGTGCTTTTAGGGTATGAGGAATTTTTAAGTTGCATCAAGACTGAGACCGTCCCCCAAATGTTGCTGCTCAGAGCCCCATTCTTGCCAGTTGTTTTGTAGAGATAAAAGATTCTGCTGGATCAAGCAAGTGACAGAATCAGGGTTCAAGGACTTGTGTTTAAGATAGGATAACAAACTGTGATTACTGCCAGTTTAGAGAAATAGGCATGCAGTGAATCCCTCTGTTAAATGTGTGCGAGCGTGTATGCCTTGCTGTGCTGGAGCCACATGGCGTTCCAGTTTTATCAGATAAATCAAGCGGATGGCTATTTGTTCCTCAGTGGCTCTGTTCTAGGATCACACTTCTGCTAATGCTTCTTACCTTTTTTTTTTTTCTTTCCTTAATTCAGATCGGAAGCCAAAAAGACTAAAGTTAAAAAGAAGACCAACAATCCACATTTTGATGAAGTGTTTTATTTTGAGGTTGGTATTTCAAAGGAACGGGTGATAAGCTGAAATACTATACTGTAAGATAGTTGGCACAGCATCCTGCTACATGCTGTGCCAGCTGTCTGCTTTGAAAACTGTTTTAAAGCATGGTGCAGGGGAAAGAAGTACCCAGGATCAGACTAGCTGTCTGCTGAGGGAGCAATATATTGCTTCAGCTCAGGTGCTCTGTAGGAAAAGCTTCTAGGTGGGCACTTCTGAGCAGCAGGCTTTTCACTCCATCATGACTCACCCCAGAAGAGTTTCAAAAAAGGACAGTTAAAAATGGGATTTTTTTTTAAAAAAATTCTGGTTTTAGCCTGTGGTTTTACAGCTGCTCCACCCTGTCTTTCCCAGTCAATGGGAGGAAGGCTATCTCCTAGGAATACTGAAAAATGTAGAGGAAAAATACACTTAAACTGGATGTTCTGGCTGTCTACCCGTCTGCTGCAATACCAGTGCCTTTCCTCCAAGTGGGTGAAACCTCTACAGCTTTATTTAATACAGAGCATTTTCAACAACTCTAGTTAAGAGAAAGTATAACTTTCATGAAAGTGCTCATTTTGGTTCTTTCTGGCAAGAGTAGCTGTAATTATGGTGTGTCCATACATATATGTGCATGTGTTTATAATTTGGATACCTCTCGAAACTTTTCATTCTGTCTTCTAAAGTATGTGTATCTTTCTCTTTTCTTTTCCTCTTGGATATCTTAGTCCCAGTCTACACTTAAGTGTTCTGTGTCAATAGATACCTCAAGAACATATCTGGCATAATGAAGTTGATGAAAAGCCAGAGTAGTACATGCAGTTGGCATATCATTGAAAAGCTCTTTCTGCCCATATGGCTTGCATCATTCAGGTCACATTTACATTAGAAATTGTTGCATAGGGATGGCACCTAGGGGTGTGGTTTCTCAAATCAGTTCAGGGGCACAGGCAGCCCCATCAGGAAGTAGAGCTGGGAGAGTGGAGCCATACACGTGCTGTTGCGCTGTGTAGATCTGAAGTGCACATACCATTCTTGGCAGTGGCAGTGAGGGGCTTATTGCTGTCTTCCCCCTCCTTCTGCAAACCATCATCTTTGCCTAGAAGCTGACAGTGGTACCGACTAATCTAAAGTCAGTCATAGCAGCAGAAACACGCTCTTGTTGATGTAATGTATTTAGATTTGAGGAACAGTTCTTTAATTGGCAGGAGCACTTTCTCACTGCCCAAAGTGGTGGAAGGGCAGTGAGGGTTGGCTGGGATAGCTATCTAAGGTAATCTTTCCTCTGGTAACCTAACACGTCTCTTCCTAGGGTATAACTTCTCTGCAGACTTAACTTTAGCTAGCAGTGAGCCTTCATGCCTGCTTGCCTGACCCAATGAGACTCTGTGGAGGTGTTGCATGGGCAGGGTTGGTGGGGGAGAGATCCCATGGTACGGAGCGCTGAAACTGCATTGAAGTGTCTGTGTGATCACTCAGGGCTGCCCAGGATTTCAGTCTGTCACCTGTCCCAGAGCTGCAGCTTTTGGCAGTGGCACAAGAGTGATGCTATATGTAAATAAACTAAAATGGGCTTCTTTATTCTTAACATAGGCAGTTCCGGAGGCGTCTGACAGCGAGAGCTTTTTAAGGAGAATGTAATCCAGTAATTCAGCCTGTAAACCACAAAACTTCACCTGTCTGATTCCTCAGCCTTCTGTGTGCTTCAGGCACAGTGAATGTTTGATATTTAAAAACTGAACTTGGCAGGTGGTGCCATATCAGGAGAGGAAGAAGAGAAACAGAAAGCATCCTCCAGCTACAGTTGTGGAGGGGCCTAGAGGCTTGCTTAGCTTGTCTTTATGCCGAGAGCTGTATTGCATGCAAGTATCAGCAGAAGCAAAACCTGAACTCAAGCCCATGCCCCAGTTGTTCTGCTAACTCAGAGCAAAATATTTTTTCTGTGTGGGTAAGAGCAGAGCTTGGGAAATGTCTGAATCAGCCAGAACTCTGAAACATAAACATACCCTTAGTGCAGACAGAGCCATCATAGATTCATGACATTTTGAGAGTAGTTAGTACCTATCAGGCTAAATGCCTCCAAGGAACAAGGTTCAGTAGAACTGCTACGACTGGGAAATACATTCACTAATGAGACATGGGCAGACCTGTGGCTGGTGCATGCTAATGGAGCGCTCTGATTCCTGTGGAGCTTCACGGATTCATGCTGTTGACAGCAGTGTCGCTTACTGCTTCCAAACAGCTTCATCAGCTTTCCTGCAGTCTGCTAGCACAGTGATTGGCCATGCCTCCAAAGAAGAAGCTGATCTGTAAAAGGCAGTGAATGGGTGCTTTCCTTACTACAACCAAAAAGTCGCACAGATTTGATTTTCTAAATGGAAGACAGGTTATCATTGGTTTGGGAAATCTAAGGGCTTATTTTAAGGGGTGCTATGAGTGAAACTTGCACCTGATGGTTAGGGGCCATTTTCTCCACCGCTCCAGCTGCAGCATGGTGTGGGGGCTCAGAGTTCTATATGCAGCTACAGGAAAATGCCCCTCTTACGGGAAATGAAGAAGTTAGTGCTGGGGACCTGTTTGCAAACCTGCATGTGCTGAAAAAAATTGAGCAGCTGATAAACGGCTTGCCAGCTTTGCCTAAAGAAAGGCACCAGCACAGCAGAGTTGTGCGCCTTTTTTTTGTAAAATGGTACATGGCACCTAGTTCAGCACTGTGGACTTGGGAGTTCCCTCATCTCCAGTTTCATCCTTGGAATGGACAGACATCATACAGCTACCTTTTTAGGAATATCGCTCTTGAGCTGTATTAATCTGCGCACTAAGCAGTCATACAGGTGAACAGAGAGACCTCGTACATGCAGACTCCAGCAAAACTTCTAAGAAAAGTGTTTATTTAAAAGGGATGTGCCATAAGTTCCACCTATGCTATAACTTTTTTTAACAACTCATGTGTTACCAATAATAAAACACTTAAAAGTTTGCTTCTGTATTAAAAATTACACCCTTAGCTTCGCAATAGTAGCAGAAAATGTCATTTGCCATTATGTAGGATAATTTCTTGAAGCCACAGGGAAGCCAGTTGCAAGGGTAGGGTGAAAAAATTTGTGCTGAGCTGCTGAAGTTGTAGGCTATATTTAAATCCTCCATACTCTTGGGCTTACAGGTGCATTTGATTCAATTATAGTCTAGAGGGTTTGGTCTCCAGTACTGGTAGTATCTTTTAGTTTTTATGTATCACCTTGAAAATGGTGCCTGCCTCACACATACACACTCAAAGGCTCTATTGAGTGTCCTGTGCTGAAGATTCTTTTTTGGTTCTTCTCCACTTACGCAGCTGTATCTTTGCCTCCCTTGTTTGTACCATCTGCATCTGATGTACAATATAAAACCAAGAAGTCAAGTTTACAATAAAAGCCAGTTTTTGTGAGTGGGAAGTATTAAGCCACAAGCATATTTAAACCTACAATAAAGTTCAGCTTCTGTGTGCAACCAAGAGCTGAACCCACACATCATACACACTTGCATTTGATCAGTTCCTGCTGTGGTTTCATCTGGGTGGGGTACCCTTTCTCAGGTTTCTGACATGCTATGCAAAAATACAACCATCAAAGTCTTTTTATAATCACACTAGAAAACAAATTTTAAGAAATGTTTGTACAAAACCTTTTTGCTAATGCTCTACACTTACAGCTATCTTCCCATTATTTTCTGCCTGAGCCTTGCCGTTTATCAGTCTTGCAAATATGGTTGGTGAACTGTGCACCTAGTTCTATATTCTGATATGCATAACACAGGCTAGCATCTCTTGGATAATTGATCTACCTGGTGTTTTTTGTATGAGCATGATAAATTGACTTCCAGGATATCAAGACAGGTAGAACTTCCCAGTTATAATTACATCTGCTGTAAAATGTTTTTAAGGGTGGTTTTGGTGTGGGTTTCTTCTTTCCCCCCTCTTCAGAGTGCCTCAGGGCATCTGTTGTACAGCTGTATTTCAAACTCAATTATTAATTGCCCTTTTATTTCCCTAGATGGGTTACAAAAGTGGTATTCCTTTCTGTGATTTTTTTTTGTCAATGTAAACTCAAAGTACGTTAGTAATATTAAAGATGTCCTTCTTCTGTAAAGAAAGCATGGAGTGTCTAGTTACTCTTGGATATGACTGTGTAACTGCCACTTTTGTATAGTGAGGAATCTGTTTAGTCAACAACGGATGTTTTCTGAATCAGGACTGAAGTCACTGCTGATAGTAAAAGACTGTGATCTTTCCAGAGCTTTGTGCAAGTAACATCGGAACGCTTTTGTATCGGATCACTTCATTAAAGTTTCCTCCTTTTTATTAGGTTACAAGACCCAGTAGCTACAACAAGAAATCCCATTTTGATATTGAAGATGTTGATGAAGTTGACAAAATGGAGATTAGGTAATATAAACCACTTTGTACTCATAAATTTGTCTTCCAGAGTTGTGTAACTTTGTAGTAGACTGCGTTTTCAAAGTTGCAAGTGTGGTTTTACTGTTCATAAATCAAGATGTGTCTTTGTCACTGTATCTGTATGCTCCTTTACCTCCACTGTCCTGAAGATGTATGCGAATATGTGACAGTTCCTCTGCAGGAGAAATCCTCATTGTTTTTCTTGGTATCCTATCTACACTGTGTGTATACTAATGTGCAGTTGTCATTAAGCGCAGCCTTTTGTGTCTGTGCTCCCCTTTCCTCCCTCCCTGAGTTTCCCAAGAGAGCCCAGAAGCTCCACGATGCTCTCGGTTAAAGGGTCTGTTTTCTTTTACCACTTAATTTTATCAACCTATATAAGGCCCTTCTTCCCTGAGAGGAAACTCTTGAGCTCCCAGTTTCTCTGGGGCAGAGGCAGTTTCTCTGCCGGACTTTAACCCCTTCTTGCAAGGCTGGGTATGATACATGTGAAATCCATTGCACGGGAAAGAAGCAACTCTGATTTCAAAACCAAAACCACCCCACCCCCTGCCACCCACTTAGTACTATTTTAGAACCTGCTGAGGCCTGTCAACAGTGTCTGGGGGGACAAGGGAATAGAAAGAGTGGAGAGGAAACAATAGGAGGTGCTAAACCTAAAGGTATCACATGCGTCATACCATCACAGACGTTGAAATTTAGGCCATCTGGTGATCTGGATGCACTGTGGCTGAAAACTGTATCTGCATCAGGTGGTGAGAAATTCCCCTCTCTTTTATGCTAGGATTTGGAGGAAGAAAGGTTGAGGGAGAATGGTGGCACCCTGTTCCTCCCCAGGTATTCCCACTAGAGAGGCCGCGAGGGCTTATCTCCCAAAACATTCCCTAGTCCCTTCAGAAGCACAGTTGGCTGTAAGGAAAGGAGGGGAGACCAGGAAGGGGGAACAATACTTACACCCAGCAAGCAAGACGCATCTGTGCTTGTGAATGAATGGATGAGGGCTGTTCTAATTTGACGGTCAGCTGCTGGTTCATGTAGCCTGTTAGCATAGCGTCAGAGCACTGCAAGATCATTAATGGATTTGTGTTTGCCGTGGCTCTGAGACAGGAAAGGGAAACTATTCATATGTGAGAGAGACAAGAGCTGTACTCTGTTTCTCTGAGAACATCTGTGTCAGGCAGTGCAAAGGTAGCTGGTTTAAGGGCAACCCACAGCTAATTCATAGGAGGGAGAGAGCAAAGGCCCAGCTTCAGTGTCATGCTGCTCTGGCGGTGTCAGTGTTGGCAGCACAGATGACCTAGTCCTAGCACCAGACTGTATTTCTGCAAAGCTTTGCATGGTGTAGGCAGGTATGAAGTAACATGTCCCATATCCCATGGAATGTGTGTGATGGAATGGGCAACTGATCAGTGTCTTGGGAGTCCCAGTCTGGTCTTTGTAACCACAATGCCCAGCCACGCACTGATTTTTAAATGAAAGTTAGGATTCTCTGATAGTTTTGTGACTCTGGAAGGGGACCCTAGACATTGGTGGACAGTGGTTACACATTGCTTAACATTTCAGTTGACTCTTATTTTGTACTACTGGACTAAATAGCATTATACAGCTATTTTACTTAGTATATTTCCTGGACAAATAACTCTGCATTGTTAATGTACATGGAGCTGAGCTTCAGAAAAGGCTTTCATTCCTTAAAACCAACACAGTACAGTGTGGTAAAAATGAATAGTTTGCGAGGAGGCTTACAAAATAGTTGGGAAAGGATTAAGCACTTAAATAATAGACAAAAGCAGATAAAGTGTTAGTCTTGGTTGGGCAAACTCTTTGCTCAGAGGTTTTGTCCCTTGCAGGACAGAGTGTTTTTGTTTCCATCTCAGGTTCCCCTTCCACCCCCGCTCACTTCCTCCAGTCTGTTTAGTTAGAGTTAGATTGCCCCCATGCCCTCTGGACAGATCATACAATTTATGGGTTTGGGGCTTTGTTTTCTTTTTCTCCCCTGAGAAAAATACCATTCCACAGGGTAAAGAGGAGACTTAGTCTCTCATGGTTTCTCTCTAAAGCTATGAAAGTTTCTCTTTTTGAGTGGGTGTAGGAAGTTGCAGGCAGGGCATATCAACACTTAGGGACCAGATGTTCTGGTGAAATTCATTGTTTCTCCTCCCCCTCTCTGTTGTTTCTTTTTTTCTGTCAGACTACAGTCTGACCAGTTTTAGAATAACACTTGCCATAATTTTGCCTTCTAAAAACCTCAGGAAACAGTAAACTTTTAGACTCTAAGGTCTGTGTATTATGACTTTTTAAAATGCTGCTTATGCTTTGTACTCCAAGCACACAAAACAATTTCAGAATTTGCATGCCTGCTTTGCTTACTGTGTAGTGTAAGATCTACCTTAAGCTGTTAGTTCCTCTCCTACAGATCCTTTGCACTGATTTTCTTTAACAAGTTGCTGTGGGGGAACACCTTTTGGCTGTGTATGTTTGAAAGTGTTATTGCTAGTGGGCATCTTGAAAGAATTTGGATAAACTAGAAACCAGTAGCCTGTAAATACTTGGCAAACTAAGTTTGACTACATGTAAATAAACTTCTCAAACGATTCCTTTCCTCCTGAAGCTGCTTTTAGCCATCTGAATTAGTTAGCAAGATAGTAACCAACCAGATACGGAGAAAGGGGAGAGGAGGTTGAATTTTCAAAGAAGTTTTTTCCTTTGGAGGAATTCTTGCCCTGCAGAAATACTGTCAAAATATCAGAGTTTGAAGAACTTAACCCAGCAGGCATGCAGTGGTATGTCTAGTGTATGAAACTTGATGCATGAGACACTGTTGAGAGACAAGGCTCAGAGGATTTAAGTGACATCCGCTGCACTTGCATAAGGTAGGATAAACCTTTAGCAGGACTATCAACATCCATTCCTTGATAAGCCTACTGTGACTTGCTTGAGAGTAGAAAGGTTGTGTAAATAAGTCCATAACTGAATGACTTTGCACCTTATCCAAATTAAAGTTGGTCTTGCTGCAAGGTGGGCATTATAGCATTTACCTACAAATGCCATGTTAGACACCAGTACTTCTATTTTGAATCTCAGTACAGTTGTTTTACATCCTAATGTTAAAGAGCATGTAAAAGGGAAGGAAGTATCATCTAAAGACACATCTCAGAACTTCCCAAATGTGAGGAACTGAGCACCAAAAATTGTGTAGGCTTCAGTCAATACACTGATTATGCAGAGTGGTAGAACTGTCTTAAAGTTTTGAGTATCTGTACAGAACTAGTTTAAGTGCAACAAATTTGTAGGCTTGACAGTCTTCCTAGGAGCTAGAGCACTGGGAAGGACTGTGTAGACATTAAGCCTAATGCTGTCAAGCTGCTGCTTAGCTGCTAGTAATCCCAAATTACACCAGGACTGACAGTATGGAGTCCTTAAATATCTCTACAATTTTTCTCCCTGGTGTCCATTTTACCTGTATTTTTCTGTTACCTGGGATAGCCAAACAGCCCCCTGAATCTTTATCAATATGGATAGAGGAAACAGTACAGATGAGGAAACGGTAGTCTAGATGATTTTTTTCGCTGTTGTTTCATGGAGGTGAATTGCAAGGCTCCAGAAATCTAAGGTAAGGTTGTCTCTTTACTGTTTGGAAACCACTGTTGTACAGTTTTGAGACTTTCTAACTCATAGGCTTGAGGGGAAAAAAACACAAAATTGAAAACAAGGTTGGGATTATTTGGTTTTAACTTTTTTATTTATTATGAATATTTTCAAAATTATTTGGTTTTATTACAGGGTTGATCTTTGGAATGCCAGTAACTTGAAGTTTGGAGACGAGTTTCTAGGAGAACTGAGACTCCCTTTGAAATTTCTCCGACAGTCTAGTTCTTACGAAGCATGGTATTTGACATTTTTCTTTTGGAGAATAAGTAGAAACATATGTCTGCTGTGAAGACTTAAAGAGTAATTACTGCTATGTGATAAAGTTCAAATGGATTTAATTTGTATCCTTTTTTGTAAGCAAGCCAAAGTAATCTTAGCAAATGTAAGAACAAGAAGTTTTGATAATGTGATTACAGATTTCAGTCTGCCTCTGTATTGTACGTGGGAGTTCTCATACATTGGCTTGATGATATTATTTACTGCAGTTCGTCAGCAGTGCCATAGTTTTAGTGTGTGGGTTTTTAATCATATCTACATAAATCTTTATGATCAGAACTTCCTATGTTGCAGCTGGTGCAAAATAGACTGGCAAATTTAATTAAAAAGTCTGATTCAGAACCCTCAAGAATTTGATACATATATAAATATTGTACATATCTAACATTGTATGTAAGTTCACGTATAGTCTGAGATAATCTTGTGTTTCAGCACAAACTTTCTGTCTTATTTTTTGCATATCAGGTATTTCCTGCAGCCCAGAGATAATGGTAACAAGTCATTGAAACCTGATGACCTTGGTTCCTTAAGGTTAAATGTGGTTTACACTGAGGACCATGTTTTTTCCTCAGACTATTACAGTCCACTTAGAGACCTCCTGCTAAAATCTGCAGATGTTGAGGTAATTTGCTTGCACTGCTTGTTGTTTACCTGCAGATCATCCTCACAAGGGCCTCTCTGAGTGTTTGTCACTATCTTGTTGGCACCATAGTTGTGTAATTACCAGATACTTCAGCTTCTTCCTTTTCCGACCTGAGGGCCTTGTTAAGCTCTGCATATCCCTGGTGCTTGTTTTTTCAGTCCTTGCAGAAAGATCTTTATCTGCATGCAGCATGGTAGGTGAAGGCACACCCAGGAACACCAGTGGTTTTAACAGTAACATATTCTCCCTGTCTTTCTAGTTTTACATGTGAAAATGCAAAGTAAACTTCGGTTTGGTCAATTGGTTGGAACAGGTTTACTTGCATAATTAAAAAAAAAAAAAAACCCAAACCTGAACCAAGAAATAGTCTTGAAATGTCAGAGGGTTGGACCATGTCTGCTATTGTGTATACTTTTAGCAGTTGTAACAATGCTTTTATTTTTTCAGTACAAGAACTGGGTTCTGTACTTAACTGTGGCTTGAAATTGAGAAGGATTAGAGTTCTTCCTCTTCATTTGCTTCCCAGGCAACAGTGACATTCAGTGAAAAGATAGCTATTAAAAATGGGGAGGAAAAAAAGAGGCTGTACTGCAATAGTTTTTAAATCTCTGCCCTCTTGTGATCAAAACTTACAGCCAACAAAAACTGGAATGTAATGCCCAGGAATGTTATGTACAGGCATGTTTGAGTTAACTGGCCGCTGCAACTATTGTGTGGGGTTCTGCATCAAGGAGCTAATGGGAAAAGTAAAAAAGCATGCTTGTTCTAGAAAGATCTCTCAAAGGTTTTATTTCTTTCCACTGTTCAGCCTGTTTCAGCATCAGCTGCACACATTTTGGGTGAAGTTTGCAGAGAAAAACAGGAAGCAGCCATACCTCTTGTCAGGCTTTTCTTACACTATGGCAGAATTGTGCCTTTCATAAGTGCCATTGCAAATGCTGAAGTGAAGAGAACTCAGTAAGTACCAAAAACCAAATTTCTATCAAGCATACCTACTCTGTGTTGGCTAGTGTTAGGATCCTCTACTCAGTTTCTAGAGTTCTATGTAATTTCAAAAGAAACTGTTGGAGTTGTTCCTGTTTCTCCCAGCTGAGTGGCAGAGTTCTTTATAAATGCATTCACTGTTCTGAAGATCTGGTGAGTTTTATTTTAGGAGGAATTCCCATCATGTTTTGTGAAATCTACTTGCAAGACTATTGTATAGTCTGAGCAGGGATTTTCATTCTTCTCAGTCTTAATTATATTTGATGATAACTGTGAAATCCTACATTACCTTCAGCTGTTCATATGAAATCATTTCAGCTTTATAGAGTGCTAATAAATCATCTAGTGCCGAGTAAAAGCGTGTGTTGAATTTGTTCAAAACAAAAAACAAGTTTCTTCCTAATCATGAATATTTAAGGCAAGCTGTGTGTCTAATCTTTCCAGTTAGAGGGCTGAGGAACAAAGATGGGATTGGATCCGGCAGTGGATAGCAGAAAACAAAATCTTTCTTCTGGTCACTTCTTATAAGTACCTTGTTTGACTTACACTACTAAACTGTCAGCACACCAGTAAGATCTAGTATTCACAGCAGGCAGGTCCTAAAGAACACTTGTTGCCACAAGCCTCATGCCTATGTAGTCATGCTCTTGACTGACACTCGAAGAGGAAAATTGCGAGTCAAGGGGAGTGACAGATACTGACTCTAAAGTAACAGCTTCCTCAGTACAAAATAAAGTCTTTGTGTGGGTTGGCTTTTTTCAGAGTGTCTGAGGGATAGCGTGTTTTCCTTCCTGTAGGTAGGTGTATTTTTTTCTGTGCTGCAGGTTGGCTGAAACAGCTTGGTTGCTGCAGTATGAGGAAATTTGCTGCTCCCTAGTCAGTCATGTTCCTGTGTTAAAACAGCAAAGATGCTGTTTGTTTTCAGGGCTTTCTGGCATTTGTAACAAGCAGTGAGCTTACTTTTTTATGAAACAAAATGATGAATCCAGCAAAGTAATTCATCTTGTTATTCACTACTTCTAAATGGGTACAACTGTAGTAAGCCATAAACAACAGAAAAGAGATCAGTGTGTGAACAAGAACAAGCAAATAACTTGGATATAAAGTTTGATCTGCTGTCAGTAGGCACAGCTTTTGATCATATGGGTTGTAGATGAGATCATTGATTATGTACCTATCTGCATAACGTAAATTGATATACAAGGAATTGCAGGTAGGAAATTAATATGAAATTGCTTGCATTCTCAAAATGCAAGTAATACTGAAAAAAAAGTACATGTGATAGTGCAGCTAGCTAAAGCTTAACGAATCACAGTGGCCATATGTCTAGCACAGGAAAAATTTTGTGCAAGTGGCTTTTCAGAAAAATGTGAGAGTCTGTATGGCATCAGCTATCCTCACAGTTCTTGGGGCAGAATTGGGATCTGCACTGTGTTTATGTGTTATCGCAGGACAGTGCTGTAAGTCACTTAGAAAAGATGGCTATGTCATTGGAGCCGGTGTTTTCATCCCCCTCTCAGCTTACAAGTATTCGTTTTGTAGGAGAAGGTGGTAGGTCACGTGTAATGTCCAGTGTTGTTGTGAGACTAAAATCACTGCTTTCTTCCCTTACTCAGATTAACGCTGTTCAGTAGCACATGAGAGCGGGCGCATGTTTCCCTGTTTATATTGTAAAACCCTTTGATTTGAGCCAGCGTGTTGCCTTGTGTTTGGATGGTGCACTGAGCACGCTGCGCTGATACAAAGAAGAAAATCTGTAGTCCCTCTGGATTTACCGTGACTACTGCTTTTCTGTTATAACCTGGAAGTGCACTAAATGCTACGTAACTGCCTTTAATGGCAGGCTGATGTCAAAGGGAGTTTTTGTTTGTGCATTCAAACTCAGATTTCCGTCACCTTTCACTGCTTCTTTTATTTCCATATATTAGCAGTTTATTACAAAGAGACTAAATTACAGAAATTTGTTCACTTCCAGAGATCCAAACACCATTTTCAGAGGAAACTCATTAACTTCCAAGTGCATTGACGAGACAATGAAACTGGCAGGGATGCATTATCTGCAAGTTACACTAAAGCCAATTATAGATGAGGTAAGAGAAGTTTAGACTGTTCATTTGATAAAATGTCACTGTAAAAGGCCTTCAGGGAGCAGATACTGTTTATTCCTTCCCACTGTAAGATGACTTTGTAGGAATAATGCTTAAGAACCTCTTTCTCTGTTAAAATCCTGTGTGCTAGTTTAGCCACAGCTGAGTCACCCAATTCAGAAACAGTTAGATTGTGCTAAAGGAAAAGGAAAGTTTCCATTTATTTAACTGAATTACTCTGTTTTATAAAATCTAACATCTATTGTTTCTGAGAAATTAATAAAGTAATAACTTAAATGAATAAAGAATATATGCAGCAGAAAGCTGCTGGGAAGCTGTAATTAATACATTTCATCCCGTGGGTATAAAGGAATAAAATTATTCCTAGACAATTGTGTGTATTATTCATGTAATTGGGCAATACTTTCAGACCACAGACTTCCTTTAAATGATTTGACAATTTCTTCAGCTGTTGTGGTAATGTTTCATCAACAAATGTCAAGATTTTAAAGAATATAGCTGTACTTTCAGAGTTGACTGTTTTGGAAAAACAGGACTGGTTTTGAACAGCCTTGCTTGAGAGAGTCTAACGAACAATTCTTTGTTTCAGTTGAAGGAAAGGGTAGAACAATTAATGCTACTTTTTGGAAAAAAATTAAGATCACGTGTAATTTACCTTCAGTGCTTTGTCAAAAGAAAAAGATACAATTTATAAAGTTGGCTTTTGCCTTTTACCCCCAAAAACTAACAGATTATGCTTCATAACTTTTTCTACTTGAAGGTAAACTGATATATTAATTGTTCATTATTTTTTTCTAGATCTGCCAGGTTCATAAACCTTGTGAAATTGATCCTGTGAAATTAAAAGATGGTGAAAACCTGGAAAATAACAGGGTATGCATTAGATTTTGAAGATACAATGTCTGTTTACACTATCAAGTTTAACTGAGTTCCTCAGATGTTTGATGTTGCAAGTAATTTTGTCATTCACTAGACTGCACTAGAAGCTTTCTTAACACCACAAACTGTTATAATTATTTTACAATGGCTTTACATTATGCTATCAATACAATATCAGTAGAATGTTAATGTCTTTTCCCCCTGCCCTTAAGGACAAGGATAACTTAGCCTGTGGCTCTACTGATGACGTAGAAAATGGTGCTATGAAAAGGAACGATATGCCATATTGCCATATCGCTTATGATTTTGGTTTTGAGAGGAATAATATTTTTTACGTTTATACTTGAACATGTGTGTTTACTAAAGAGAGTATCATAGAGTGTGAGATTGTACATTGAAAGTGAGGATCTTTTAATGATGCCATTATGAATAGAACCAGGAATAATACCGCTTTCCACAGCAGAAAATGATACTAGTTTTGTCCTAATCATTGCATTTTTCAGGAAAATTTGAGGCAATATGTTGATCGTATTTTTACTGTAATTACAAAATCTGGTGTAAGCTGCCCTACAGTGATGTGCGATATTTTCTTTTCACTGAGAGAATCAGCTGCCAAACGTTTTCAAGGTGAGTTTCTATATATTGATTTATTTTATACCACTGATATCTTTTAAACATAGGTGTAGTCTAGCAGTCTGCATGATCCATGATGGATTTAGTAATTGAACAGCAGCTTATCCAAAATAGCATTTGGAGCGTGTATTAATGCTGGTTTTTGCTTGATTATTCATTCCACAAAGAACATGACTTTTAATGATTGTATAAGTTTTCCTTAAACATCTTTCAAAGAAAAACAGCATTTAAAAAGAGCGTTATGATGGTATGTATTTATGGTTTTAATACTTGCAAAGTATGCTCAGTTTTCAAATGTTCAGGTTTTTGTAATGGCTTATTCTGCCGACTCAGTGGAGTTGAATTACCTTCTGCTCATACGTCAATCTGTAATAAAGGCCAATCTATAAATTATTGGAGTCATTGCAAGCTCATTGCCCTAGGAGGCCCATGTGCTGCAAAGGTTTTCTGGCTGCCAAGAGAGAATTCTTTCCGTTCCCTCCTAGTTGTTTTGGCTCTGTGAAAATGAGCAGGCAATATAGAACCGGAATTGAGCAGAACAACCAACCTGTGTATTTTCATGAAGGGAAGCAGATTACAATATGGAAGTTTTAGAGTAATAAGAGTTCAGCTTCTAAACAGTCACTTCATAGTAGAGAAGCTCAAGCAGAAAGCCATTGATTGTGCTGTCGTGCTTTTTATGTAAAAATAAATAAATAGGACGAGAGGAAATGGCCTCAAGTTGCATCAGGGGAGGTTTAGATTGGATATTAGGGAAAATGTCTTTACTGAAAGGGTAGTCAAGCCTTGGAACAGGCTGCCCAGAGAGGTGGTGGAGTCACCATCCCTGGAGGCGTTCAAAAAAACGTGTAGATGTGGCAGATCAGGACATGGTTTAGTGGTCATGGTGGTGTTGGATTGATGGTTGGACTGGTGATCTTAGATATCATTTCCAACCTTAATGATTCTATTCTAGTTTTACTTTCGTTAAAAACTAATCCAGCCACGAAGCCAGGAAACATGAAATTAATTCTTACTCTACCCTTACTTGGTTTATTGGTGGACTTGGTAGTGTTAGGTTGATGGTTGGACTTGATGATCTTAAAGGTCTTTTCCAACCTAAACGATTCTATGACTCTAAATTGTATTTTCTGTAATTAACAACTGGAATAGATAGGTTAGGAGTCTGTACAGCACTTGTGCTTGGGGCTATAACTAGATAACTGAAAGTTGGCCTCTGTGCTGAACGTTTCATAAACTATGTAAGTTATTCATCATACTTGAGTTGCATAGATGGAGTAGCAGATGTTTGTATGAATTCCCTTGTGCAGTGGAAAAGTGACTGGTGTTCTCCCAGTAGCATGTGTTGTGAATTCGCTTCTTTTTAAAAGGCTGTCATTGACATTTCTTTGGTTTATGCTAGCCAGTCTCTGGTTCCAAATCCTCCATCATCAGTTAATCCTGTAACTCACAAATATATGTTTCTAGCACGTGCTTGAGTTAACTTTCTGAAGGCATTCTGATGATTTCAGAAGGTTTTTAAGGAAGGATTATTGAAATGCTGAGTAGAGGTCTCTCTTTTTTTTTTTTTTTTTTTTTTTTTTTTTTAAATAGGTGACCTAGATGTGAGGTATACAGCTGTCAGCAGCTTTATTTTCCTGAGATTCTTTGCTCCTGCCATTCTTTCCCCAAACCTCTTTCAGCTTACACCACACCATCCAGTAAGTACTGTATCAATTTTTTTTTCTAGCTAGGGGTATCGTTCTGTCACCATAGTCTGTCTATCAAGATTCTTTCTTCAGTTATTTTAATAGCCTTTAGAAGAAGTACCTTTGTTAGTTCAAACATCTGCTATGTCTGTCTTGGGTATGAAGCATATGTTGAATGACTATGTATGTGAAGAACTTGGGAGGTATGGGAGGAACAGTGAAATTTAAGGACAAACAAAGTAGATGGTCTAAGCTGCTGTGGAAAAGATGGTCACTGCTTCATTTTTGCTGCATTACATTGCTGACAATCAATCCAGCATTAATGTTGGAAATGTTTTGGATGTTAAGCAACTTATCCAAGACTTTTAGTAGTCGTTCTTATTGGGAGTGGGGAGGACCTGCACAGTCTTCAAGACAGAAAGCTCTATTTTTGTTTTGCAAGTGATTGCCTTTGATTCTCTGAAGAGCAGTAGGGTAGCTATGAAGCATGATGGCTTAAGTGTCAAAAGCCTTTAAAAAGGCAACTTTTTTCCTGTAGTGTTTTATCAGGTCTTTTCTAATTTTATTTTACTTTTCTGCAAGTGAAAAAGAAAGAAGAAACAATAGTTTACCTTCCTCTATTCCATATTTTAAATAACTAGTCCATATAATATTGTTCTCTTTCCTAGGATCCTCAGACTTCTCGAACTTTGACACTTATCTCTAAAACCATTCAAACGCTAGGCAGCCTATCAAAATCTAAATCTGTAAGTATGCCATTTTCATTTAAAGGCTTAATTCAGGAAAGTGATATTTTTTTTTTTTTTTAATCTTTTATCACTCATTACAATTAAGCCTTTAAACTGCTTGAGTTGTACCAGGGTTATGCAAAACTGGTTATGATTGCTTTGATTATAAGCCCCTCTCATACTCACAGGAAAGCTAAATCTGTCTAAACCTGAACTAGATTTCAGTAAAGCAAAATTGTGTGACCAAACTAGAAGTCTGTTCAGGGCTTTTCATTCCTTCCTTCTGGAAGAAAGATAGTGATCAGAAAAACCTGTGAAGTTCTCTACTTGCCTCCAGTACATTAGAGCAGCTCTACAGGGCTTTACAGATTGTTTCAACATTTTAAAGCTCAACTGAGAAGAATTGCTCAGTAAGGGGAAGGGTTATTCTTTTCTTTTCATAACTGGTTCAGTTTTCTGCCAGTCAGTGGTGAGATTAGATGCAAATGCCCATGCTCTGGATCTTTGATTCAAATAAAACTTGTGTACCTAAGGCACCACACTGCTATATCTGGTGATAATTTGGGGTCGCTGGTGGTCTAGTTAAGATACACACAGGCAACTGTAGATGAATCTGTACCTCGATTACGAATCCTTTGAGACAGTAGAATTCCTTCTCTCGCACTTTTTGTCAGCTTCTTTTAGGACCAAGATTAAAAGCCAAAGCATAAGTTTGAAGCTTTTGAAGAATACATTATTAACTGTAGTAACTGAACATTTGAAATGCATTCTGCTACCTTTCTGAAATAAAAATTTGGTACTGCTGAATGTGTGCTGTACAACATGAAAGTAGCGCTTCGCTTATTTTACCTCTGGCCAGGAAAAAACCCCTCTTATCTGCGGTGGCTTGCCTCATAGTCTACTGCTGTTAACAATAATATTTTCTGTATAAACTGTATAATGATATGCATGGTTTTGGCTTTGTATTTCAGGCCAATTTCAAGGAATCCTACATGGCTACTTTTTATGACTACTTTAATGAGCAGAAATATGCAGATGCAGTAAAAAATGTAAGTAATGCATGTGAATGTTCTGAAAATCCTGCTGTGTTGTTGAAGCTGTTGCTCGGAATCCTAGAATGTAATACATACTGTTTGTAAACCAGGAAGCGTGTGCTGGAAAAAGCAGACTCCTGATAACTGTAATAGTCAAGAAACTTTTATCAAATTATGTGCATGTCAATAGTAGAATCCTTTTGGATCTAATTCTACTTAATAATTAGGTTGGATTAACAAGCTGCTACTTAGAACTTGAGGCGTGTGCATACTTCATAGGATGCTGCAGATCTGTGATGAAAATTGCTTAGTCCAAAAGGAAGCGAAAGATACATATAACAAAGGAGAAGCCCAAGAAGTGTTGGTTATTTGCAGTTTTTCTGCTGAAGAGCATTTGTGCTATTTTTAGTTTACAACCCAGGAAACCTCCCAAATTCCTCAAGCTTCTGCCATTACCTTCTGTTTAACTACTTTTACAATATTTTCTTGTAGCTCTGTGCTGTACAAATGTTAAAGATTTTAATTTGGTAGTCCGGTACTGTCATTTTTATCTACGCTTTTTGTTCACCTTTTAGTTTCTAGATTTAATTTCATCTTCGGGAACTAGAGATCACAAGAGCATAGAGCAACCTATATTGCTTAAAGAAGGGTAAGCATGCATGTGCAACAAAACTCTCTACTTGTGTGCTTGCTACCATTCTAAGGCAGCTATTCTTTTTTTTCCGCCATCCCTGTTCCGTCCATGTGTTCAGAGAAGAACGTAGGAAGATTCTTGTGTTGCTATTTCTACTCTCTGTGGCTACTATAGCTGATTTTAACATCTTTTCATTTGATTTAAACATCTTAATTTAAGTATGTTTTGAAATAAGTGGAGGAAAAAGAAGCCTGTAGAACTTAATTAGCACAGCTAAGGCAAAATAAATCAGCGTTGTGTTAAAATCAAGTTGATTATTTTTTTTTCTTCCTGAACTCCAGTGAGCAAAAGCTGTAAAATTCCACTGTGAAGGCAGATACTGAATATCTTAGTGAGGGCAAAGCCTGCAAATGGAATTTGCTTTTGCTGCCCTGAAAGATCCATATGCTAATCATCATCATGGCAATTTCGAGGAAAATTTGTGATGCACTTGGAACAGTTTCTAGTTTTAGTACCTTTCCTTTTTTTGGAAGCATGTTACATATGCCGTATTAGTTTTAGATACTAACTGTTGACATTTTTTGTGTTTCAAAACTAAGTTAAGATCATCTAAGTGCACTGTGGAAATAGCTTCTTTGAGCTGGGAAGAAGAAAGTAAAAAAATTCACATTCTTCCTGTCAGAGCTCAACTGCTGCTTGAAAGTAAGCTTTCATGGTAGCTCTAAGTCATGCAAAAATTAGGTTTTTGGTAAAAACATGGCTACCCCTTCCAGTTAACCTCTGCAGTTCACTCCTCTGATGAGCATCTGTCCCTAGAAGCAAGTTTGTCTGGTTTAATTCTGTACATTTGTCATTCTTTTGTTTTTGAAAATAAATGTATAGTTTGTAACATTTTCCCTCTAACTCTGAAACATTATTTTTTCTGCCTCTGTCTTTCTTTTGCTCCTGCCTGATTTTTTTCTGTCTTTTCTTGCTCGGCCTGTGGCTGCTGTTGTAAGGACTCTTAAACTAACAGTAAAGAAAGTTGATGGTAATAGTTCATGCAGGTAAGATGGTAGGGGCAGTTGGTGCTTTGCTGTAGCTACTGGCTGGCAGCGTGTCCTTCCTTTGCAGCAGTAGACTTGTTTGGCTTTAACTTCGGGGAGGGAGCACTCTGTTTCACGACCCTGAAATGCCTGTGTAAACCCAGCAGAGAACATTTTGTTACCGATTTCTTGATGTTGACCAACTCTTTTTTTTTTTTTTTTTCCCCTTCCCTTCCTTAAAACAAAAACCTGCTGTAAATAGAGAATAAAGGACTTTTATCTGTAGGCAGAGGCTCCAAGAAGCACTGGGATTTGCTTAATATTCAGTGTATAGATCCCAGTGAACTCACTGGAAGTAAGAAGTGGCCATACATTTTCTAGGCACTTCCTAAGTAGAATTCATGTAAATTGTTCTCAAGATTAAGGAGTGGCCTTCAGCTGCCTATTTTTCCTGACATTTTGCATTATTGCCATGTTATATCATGGGGAGTGGGTGGGAATTTTCACAGCCTTTGATTTGATTCTTCTCCAGATTGATTGGCTGGTTAGTGTGGTTTCTGTTTGCCTTAGCAATGTTTTTGTTTGCTTTTGTTTTTTTAATTTATCTTTGCTTCTATTAAGAGTATCTAGATGGAAAGCTATAGCATATGTACTTTGGAATGAATGTACAGTACCAAAGATTAGTCACTGGCACTTCGGTTTGCAGGCATTGATCATGCCATTGCTGCTTAACAGCTGTCTGCCTGGTTCTTTCCAAAAGGAAGAAAATTAAAAGGAGAACTAGCCCTGCCATTCTTGTAGGTGAAAGGGGCATGCCGATGCTTCCAAGCGAGGCTAAGGCAGATCCAAACTCAGGTCTACCATAAACATGAGAAGAAACAGCATCTCCAACATCCAGCGCTGAAATGAGTTTCATCTTAGACTTTTTTTCCCTTTGTGCTTCTGAACGTTTGCTCCAACTTTGCACACATTCTGCAAACGTTAGAAACAAAGAAATCCTTTAAATTCACCTTGTAACTTCTGTGGCTTTGAATGCTTGTCACCTATCAGTGGGAAATAAAAGCACATTCTTCTTTGGCTATGTCAGCTATGAAGAACTTAAGAGCACATATCTAATTAGCTCTGCAGTATGGAGTTTGGATTTTTCAGAGGGAGGCTCTGTAGGAGTTTGCAGTTTTAAGTCACCTTTTAAGTGTTGGCCTGAGAAGGAAGAGAAACTAACTTGAAGAGCATATTGTCCAGCCCAAGGATATCTGCTCTTCCCTTGAAATTTGCCTTAACATTGAAATATGAAGGCTACCACCAGTGAGCCTGGTGATGACCTGAATCGTGGTTTCATTAAATATTTCTCAAGTAATCCAAGAATAAGGACCGAGACGGTATCTGCCTGGCCATTTTAAGAATGAGAGAGGTGTGTAACTATAACGGGTTTAAAAAAAATCTGTTGCCATATACAGTCCTTGTCAGCTTTGGCCCACACAACTTGTAATGGGCAGCAGGCACCAGCCCAGCTGGTTACAAAACAGTTAAAGTCTGAAGGAACTTGGGTTTCTGTTTGAGGTTTAAACAGAACTGCGGTTCGGTTGGATGCAATGTAGTTGTTTCTGACTGAAGATACCAGAAGCAAGATACCGTATTGGCTGTTCTAAGCATTTTAGCTCTGCTGGTGAAAATCTTCAACCAAATCATTCTCTGTTCTCTCTGTGTGCTCTTTGTGCTGTATAGATCCTTCCTACTTGATAAAAACTACTCTGTAGTAAGTAGTTTTTACTGGCTCCATTCTATAATTCTGTATTTGGCACAATAGTTAGTGTAATGTATAGAGTAGTTGTTTCAACTCTCTACTACATATGTATACACTTTTTTTCCCACCAAAAGTGATGCTGAGCAGTATGAAGTTGCTAGGGTTTCCAAAGTCACCTTGAAGCTTTTGGAATGATTTAGTGGTTGGGAAGATGGTGGATGCATCACAGTTTCTTGTGAGCTAATTCAAGTTTGAAATTAATTAAAACTGACAACTCACTAAATGAACACCTCTCCTCTGCCAAAAAAGGGGGGGGGATGAGAGGGTTCTAGCTTTCAGCCATCAGATTGCTTTGTATGTTATTGAAAACACGTTTCCAACCACAGCATGAGTGTGCAATTGCAAATGGAGCTGTGGAACATCTGATTTTGTTTCTAGAGCTTGAGAGCGACTAAAGCATGTAAGGGTACAGTCCCTGTGCTCCAGAGGCCTTACATCTGCCTTCTAATTATTAAACATACCCTAAACATTTTGAACTTTCTTACAGCTTTAAAAAAAAAAAAGTTTGTGGAGTTAACAGGTCAAGCTTAGCAGAGCAGTACTAACCGTGTTGTGCCTTTTTTCTGCTGTAGTAGGAAACCATTTAGCTGGATTTGTAACTGAGGAAAGGGCACAAGCTGCAGTTCAGCTAACTAACTAGAGCCCCTATGTAGACTACAAGTCAAGCTGCATGTCTTGCCCCTTATCTAGATCTGGAAGAAGGACAGGCTTAACTAACAGATGCACTAAAGCTATCAAAGTGTGACTTTCCTTGCCTTGTCAAGACAAGGCCTCAATAATTAGAAAACACTGTATGTCCCCTCCTAAAGCTTCACAAGTGCCATCGTGGGGGTGTGTATATTTGTATAAATCTATATACATAAATACATATTTTATATGTATGCATATATTTATATGCATGTATATATAAAATCTGGTGTATTGTAACAACTGTTGTCCTGTTTACTAGGTTCATGATCAAGAGAGCACAAGGAAGAAAACGATTTGGTATGAAAAACTTCAAGAAGAGATGGTTTCGCCTGACAAACCATGAGTTTACCTATCAGAAAAGCAAAGGTAACAAAGGTTTGCCAGTCTTTTTTTGATACATTAAAGTGAAGGTTAAACATAAGGATTGTGTAAGAACAGAAGACTCGGATCTAGATCTCTAACTGTAGAAGGCACAGTGCAGGCAAGTCTGTCAGCCTGTATGTTCTTGCCCTTTTGGTTTTTTTTTAGTATGACTGTACAGACTGTTAGAGAAGCTTCTTGGATAGCACAGTACCCTATAAATTAGCAGAATATTTGATAATATTTGTCTAATATCAGTTATCAACATCATCTGTAGGATTCACAGTTACATAGTAGATTGTCAAAGGAAACAGAACTCAGGATACAAATACCTCACACTGCGATTTAGGTTTGTATCGAACATTCTGAGATGCATCTCAGCTTGTTCTCATAAATTCTGTAGCATTGGCACAACTGGCTGCAGTGGGCAGGGATTTTCCTGCAAGCTTTAGGCTTGCAAAAATATGTTCACTTAATATTATCTAATACCAAGGGTTTTGCTTTTTGCAAATTGTTTCTGTCTGTTCAGTAGTACACAACAAATACCACTTCCTTCCATCATATAAATACACAGGGAGTGAGAAAAATAAGGAAACCTGTTCAGATCATGCCATTCATCATTTCACACTCAACTTTGAGATCTTACGTCACCACCATTGACCTATTTCAGTTGAGCTGACAGGAATGACTTCTTTCATTGTCACCTTCTCAGGAAATATACTGTGTCCTGCTGCAGTAGTCAGTTTCTAAGAGGTTTGCTAGCATAATGTGGTGCAGCTGAAAACAGAAATGAACTTAAGATAATACATAAGGACCATGCTAGTAAATCCCTGCTGAGTGAAAGATTTTTTTTTTTCCTTTTTCTGTGCCGTCAAAATGATCTTCAAAGGAACTGAATCAGCCCTTAAAATACGGGCAGAGGGTGAAGTTGAGTTGTGAATAAGTTGCTCAGTATCTGTGTGTGTGTGTGTTCTGCAGGTGATCACCCTCTGTGTAGCATTCCAATTGAAAACATTCTGGCAGTGGAAAGACTGGAGGAGGAATCCTTTAAAATGAAAAATGTAAGTAGGTCATCTTCATTAATTTACTTGTTAGGCTGGTCTAGATCCACCAGTCTAATCGCCTTTTTCCCTTTTGTAACCTGGATTGGGTTTCTGTTGAAAGATGTACAGCCACAGCTGCTTGTTCTGTATATAGTAGCAGGAGTTTCCAAAAGTACAGCCCATTCAGATTCTTAACAGTCAGCAGTCTTTGCGTTTCGTGATCTGCAGCACACTCAGTACTGACCACTGCTGATCAGCTGTCTGGGCTCCGTAATGTCAGACACAGGTAAGATAATCAAGTCCCTGCCCTTTCTGTCAGACCTCTCTGTTGGGAAGGAACTGGCTGCTTATAACTGTGAAGGATCACATCTTCTTTCTTAGCTGTCAGGGTTTCTTTATTGGTTAATGAAAGTGCGTATATACTCGGGTTAGGTCATGTGCCAAAACAACAACTGTGCTGTGCCATTATGGTTTAGCATTTTGATTGCCACATTAGTGAATAAAATACAGCTATATTTCTCATGCATGGAACACTACTGCCAACTTCTGTATGCAAGACATACCATCGATTGTGTAAGAACAGTTCTTGGACATCATCGGTTTAGGTGATGTTGGGAGCCTTTTTCATATTATTCTACCTGTGAAGATGAGTACAGTCCTTAAAAAGTTTTATTTAAAAATAAACAAAAAACCAGCTCAGTGTTTTCCAGTTCTAAACATGCATCTACTACAGACTTCTTCATACACATAAATGATTGTGACTTTCAGCTTTTCTGCCTTTAAGTCTTTCCTGCCATCTACACTGCTTGTGGACACCACGCAGGGCAGTGCTCAAACCTGCCGTAGATATTAGGTTCCTCAAACAGCACTTTAACAAAGTGAAATACAATGCTTGATGGCTCAGTATTTTCTCTGTTTCGGGTATTATTTTGGTAGCATATCTCTCTCTCTGTTAAAAGGTGGAATAAGTTTCAGTTCACTTGCTTCTAGAGCACATCTTCATTGTACTGTATGTGGCTCTGGTGTTTATAATTCACATTAACTACATAGGCAAAAGCAACCAAGCTGCAAAATAATTCTCAAGCTATCAGAAGGCAGCTGTAACATATGATGAACTGTTGCCAACTGAACTCTGCAAATTAACTGATTGAACTAAAAGCAGCCACGCAGTTGAGAGAAAACTTACTGTGTGTGGAGAGGAGCTGATCTAATTCTGATCAACTCTTCAGTGACAGCAGTCTTTAACTTATGCTGAGTCTACTGGGCTAGAATGCATCCAAAATATCTCTTTATGGTAAAGATTTATTACAGGAAAAACACCCCTTTATTGTTAACACCAGAAACTGTGGGCTATTTTGGTTGCTTAAATTCATTGTTACCTAGGAAATGAAGGTGACTACATCCATTCTGGAAAGTAAGGTTCAGAGTCTTTCCATAAGCAGTAGAAAATACCAGTATCACCTTCCTGTGCTAATATATTCCCATTTATCTTGCCATGCATAAATAGAATACTGCAGCAAGAACAGAATTCTCAAAACACCATAGCAGATGTATTTGTGATGGATGTTCCATTGTGGTTGCTAAGTGTGATTAAAGATCCACATTTTCTATAAATACTCTTTATGTATCTGTGCTCTGAATTGCACCAAGTGTGTCTTCCTCACTCCTGATAAATCTGCCTGTCTGGCTGTAAGGCCAGTAGCCTTCACCTTCCTTAAGCACAGTTTGGGAGGCGTGAGGGTGGCTTTAAGTATTGCTCAGGTCTTCTGTGTTGTTTGAGAAGCAACTGGTGGTTTTGGTAGAGTAAAGGTCTTGCACCCACTTGAAATTCTTGGCTTAGTTGTGGGCTTCACAGTAACAGTTGCCATGTGTTAGTTCACTTAGGTTGGTATCCTCTTACACAAAGCCACACTCCTTAAATCTGTTCCTTTGTTGTAATGCAGAAGGCTCCATTTACGCCAGCAGGACATTAAAATTCTTTTCGCTGTAGTTCTGTGTTTAACGGAGGGTTGAGCTGCATGCTCCTGTCTTCCTCGTTCCTTCCTTCCCTATTCCCCAAACTCAATTTGCCAGTTATGTCCTGAAAAGTTTTATTAAAAGGACTGTCTCTTTGGTGTCTGTTTTGGCAGTGCTGGACTGATCACACCAGCAGCTCCTACGCTGCTCTTCTGTGTTGTGCATTTCTAATTAGTGTCTGATATCTATAACGATACTAAATCCAGGGAAATGACTGTTGGAGCTTTCCCTTTCCTGTTAGAAGAGACATCATAATTAAACTCTTTGTTCACAAATTAGAAAGTATATTTGCAAGCTGTTTTAAAGGATGTGCACCTGAAAGTGTCACAAGGGAAGAAGCGATTGCACCTGGTGACAGTTTGCAATGTTCTCCTGACCAGCTAGGTGCAGAATTTAGGTCAATGTTTCAGGTCTTTGTAATAGACAAAAGTGAATTTCGGTTTGGGGGGGGCTTTTTTTTTTGGTGCCTCTTTGTTTTTCTTTTTAAAGTAGCACAGAGAAACCAGCTGTTTGGAAAAATAATATTCCACGTGATATAGGCAGTGTAATGTCTAATGATTTGAATAATCAAATGAAGAAGTAGAGGAGGAAGGATAATTTAGGAATACCTGAGAGAGAGAGGAAAACCCATTACAATTAAGTATTTGCAGAAGGAATGAAGGATAGAGGAAATTAAGATGGTTGACATTTGCCTTTCCAAAATTTGCAGTTAAGATCACTAACTTGAGTTTAGTTATCTTCAATGCATGATCAGTATAATCAAGCAATAAGGCTGTACATCAGAAACTTGCTTCTTGAGAGGAGGAAAATAAATGCGATTGTGCCATTTTAGGTTGCAGGCTGTTTTGAACAGGCAGGAGAGCTCTAGTTTAGATTTTTCAGCGCCCAAGACATAATGCAGAATTAATGTGTAATTATTTGAACCACTGTATGGCGATTAAAGAAAAACTGTGTTGCTGTGATTTGCTAGTAGCAGCTATAGTGCAGAAACGTGGAAGTTATTAAAAGGAAAGAATCATGCTGAGATATGTGTTAAAAAGACTAGAGAGATGGCAATGTTAAAAGCTAAAGCTGTCGCTGAGGTGGGATCCAAACTCCTGTTTTTCTCTGTTCTGCCCCCTGCTGACTAGCATTTCCTTTCAGCCCTGCGTTGGGTCCTTCTTGTCAGCCTTCCAAAACTTGGAGGTGCATCATTACTAAAATGGCATCCCTGAGGCCAACAACAAATCTTGTTGAGGCCCAACGAGCAAGTTGATATTAGCTGTTTGTAAATCATCTCCTACAGGGACAGTATCTTACTCCTTGTACTACGTGAAAGGTCTTGTTGTTTTAAGGGCACACTTGCTGCTTGCTTTTGTGTTGAGATGTATTTATTGGTGCGTTCTTTTAGTATGCTGTGGTTTTCCTTTAATAAATCATCGGTCTGAGCCCAGTCTTAGGTTCACCGACTCATTCTGGTGGTTTATTCTGTGGCTTATTTCCTTATTTGCAGATGTTCCAGGTGATCCAGCCTGAAAGAAGAGTCTTGTATATCCAAGCAAATAATTGTGTGGAGGCCAAGGACTGGATTGATATCCTCACCAAAGTTAGCCAATGCAACAAGAAGCGCCTCACGGTTTACCATCCCTCTGCCTATCTTAATGGCCACTGGCTTTGCTGTAAAGCTACTGCAGATAATACTCCTGGCTGCACACCCTGCACAGGGTAAGGATAGGTAATATGCTGTTGGTCTAAGTATTGCCAGGGGTATGTGCGTCTCTGCAGTGTGACTTGCAGGTATGCAATTACCAGGAAGATCTGGCAGGTATGCAGGCATTGTGTTTTCAAAGGCCATCTTTATTGTTATTTTTGATACTGTCAGTATCTGCATAGCTTGGTGAAAATGTTGACATTTTTAGAGCTCAAGACATTGATAGGAGTTGACTGTGGGATAAGATACTTTGGTTCTGATCATCTGTCATTAGTAAAAATGTCAGAAATCCCTTCAACATCCTATTTGTAAATTCCTGAAACAGACAATCATCTGCTTTTAGATTTAATTTTAAACTGATCTTTTCCTAAGGGGCCCACTCATGCTCTCTGTTGAATCAAGAGGTACTGTCTGGTTTGTAGGAGACTCTTTTCATCTAAAATGAGAGAAACAACAAGTCTGTAGTGGTAGTCTGTACTGGTAATTAGTCTCAGAATATAAGACCTGGACGGTTGGGAGTTCAGTGCTTTGGCTCCTCCATCTGGTTATAGCAGACTAATTCACCAAAATGTCTGGATGCTGATACAGTCCTCTCAAGTCAGAGTGAAAGCGTGCTGGATAAATCTAGGCATAAAGAAGTTTGAACTTGTCTACCTTTTGGGAAGAATAGGAAGTTTTGAGTTTCATTATATACAGTCTGTTGGCTTTCACAAGTACTCACTTTTGCTTTCATCCTCATTAAGTGCTTTTTGTGCCGTAATATACTGTTTAGCCTATAACTTCTGCCTCTCTTCCTGATGCCTTACAGAGGCCTGCCAGCAAATATACAACTGGATATAGATGGAGATAGAGAAACTGAGCGCATCTACTCTCTTTTCAACCTGTATATGCCAAAATTGGAGAAAATGCAAGGTGAGGATGGAAGATCATTGTATCTCCAATACACTTAGCAAGGCAAAAATACCTGTGAAAAATTGTCCTAGCTAGACCAGCCTTGTGAATCACATCCTAGAACACAGTGGCCGTTATTTGACTTGTTTCCCCTTCTGCTGACTTGAGGCAGTTGTGTGAATTATTTTTGGTGCAGCATGCAGTCTCATAGTCTGTACAAAGTTCTTTGCATAATAAACAGTTGTTTGAAATAGTCTTAACCACAGCATCCTAAAATAGCATAGGCACAGAGCATTGCTTGGATGCTCTGAATTGACGAATCAGAGCATGCACTAAACCAGAAGTTTACTGATCCTGAAAAGAAGCACCAGCAAAGTTGAGGTTTCAGTGGAACATGGTTTTGTGTTACCAGAAGTCATGTGCACATTCCCTGATTCAGACCCCAAGAACAGGCTGGATACAAATGGTTTCTCAGGAAGGCTCTTTCGGAATTACCAGCGAAAGATGACCTGTGGATGTCTGTGAAATGTTGAAAAGTGAAGTTTGGGCTAGGAAACCCTCAGGAGCTGAAGGGAGCAGAGATGTGACATGAAGGATAACAGAAAGAAGAGACAGCAGAGGAAGTTAGTACTAGTAGGCATGCCAAGAAAAGTATCCGGTGTACATGGTGCCAGACTTGAAGTCCCAATTTAGCACAAGGAGTGGCAGGGAAGCCTTCACTGTGGCACTGATCTTTAAATAGGACTTTATTTTATAATATAAGATAAGCCAGTGGTGTCAAACACACAGATTGGAAAGCACTTTAATCCATTCCTGGCTGCCGTGCAATTGCAAACTTAAGATCCCCACCACTTCCGAGCCGTCTGAACCAATGCCCAGCTTTCCCCTGTTCCGAATCCTCACTGCCAGAGCCAGCATCGAGTTTCAGTGTCGAGGAAAAGGACGCAGGTCTGGCGCAGACAGTGCAGCAAGGGGAAGGTAACTCGAAAGCTGAGACTGAGACAGCAGTAAAGCTAGAAAGCTAGGGAAAAATAGAGACAAAGTAAAATATTCTCTCTCCCCTTCTAACACACTCAGCTACAATGCAGAAGTAGATCACATGATCAGTCTGTTGCAGATGTTCATGCGTAATCAGTGTCCTGATCTCTTAGCCAGGAAGGCTCCCTGGTAAGATAGGAAGGTAGTATGACTTGATCCTTTTTAGGATATGTACTTAAGCAGGCAGCCAGGCAGTAGTCATGACTTATGCTTATTGTATGAATCTTTTAGGGGTAATGTGGTAAAACACCTTACATGACTACTTCAACCTGTAATGGTTTTGAATTCAGTCTGTTGTGCAGTCCTGTACTTGCTGCTTAGCTGCTGCCTGGGGATGGAACCTGTCCTTCTCACAAGTGAATACTTGACTTCGTGCAGTGCAACCCTGCAGCACAGCAGCAGAGTTAGGCCTGTGTCAGAGTTCCCAAAGTGTGTGCATGGGGTACTGCTAGTGCTAATTGAGATGAAGGCATTGCCTGTGCAGCAAAGGACAGCTTTGCACCAAGCCAGGAGCAGCTGCCAGCCTTGCTTCCCTTTCCTTATGAGACAAGGAGGAGGGGACGGGCATGGGACAGCCTCTGTGCCTACCAACAGCCCAGCAAAAGGACAGGGAACTCCTGCTGCTGTTGCTGTTGCTGTCAGCCACAGTTCTGTGGTGGTCATATGGAAGCAAACCAAGGAACTCTATGAACCCCAGACTGAGTATTTTTAGTCTGCTTGTCTCACTTTTTTCCCCCTGCCTGATACCTATTCCCGTACTTCGTTTTTTTTCCCCCAGAGGCCTGTGGCAGCAAATCTGTGTATGACGGACCTGAAGAGGAAGAATATTCTACATTCATCATTGATGACCCTAAGGAGACATATAAAACACTAAAGCTGATTATTGAAGGCGTTGGAACTTTAGAGCAGGAGCATGCTCAATATAAGAGAGATAAATTTAAGAAGACAAAATATGGAAGCCAGTAAGTACAATGGGTTGCCCAAACAGGGGAGCAGTCCTGGGAAATAGTATTTCCCTTGCTTATGTTCTGGCCTGCACCATATTAATGTTCAAAAAAGATCCTGCAAATACATACAAGTAGGTTGTGACTTAGGAGTGATATCACAATATTTTAAAGGAGTGTAAGGAATTTTTAAATGCTTATTTTTTAATGCAGTTTCATTCGTAAAAATAAGTGGGGGGGTTGGTTTTGGTTTTGTGGTTTGGGTTTTGTGGGTTTGGGGTGGTTTTTTTTTAATTTTGAACCTGTGCTTGTGGAATGAGGAGTAAATACCAGAAGATAGATGTACTTACCAGCTTATTTTAGAGTGTTGGTTTAAATATAGGGAGAGTGGCTGATACAGCCACATGACTGTATTTTGTGTACACATTAAAGGAACATTCTGCGCATGGCTGACAAAAAAGAGGATCAATTCAATCAGTCAGGTCTTCCAGTTCAAGTAAGATGCAGTTTTATCATTACAATTACAACTTTGAAAATCAAACTTAGGGAAAAGGTTTTGTCTGTTCCCTTTCCATTCTGAGATTTTGATGTCCTGACAGAAAATTCTGTGTATCGTACTTTTTCCTTTTTTTTTTTCTTTTCTTTTAGAGAACATCCCATTGGTGACAAGAGCTTCCAGACGTACATCAGGCAGCAGTCGGAGATCTCAGCACATTCCATATGAAGTGCAAAGGAAGTCACAGGACAACGCTGAAGGGTCGATCAGTGAAGCTAAATAGCAAAACAAAAGGGAAGCCACACATGTAGCAAAATGTATGGATAAGTGTCAAGCTTACAAACTTTGAGACTTGCTAAACGTATTCTCTTTTCAAGAAACTGTTATAATAGTTGCTATGCACTTTATTCATCTGGCTATTGACAGATGATAAAACTCTGCCTTCTAGGCAGTTGTTGTCATGTGTATTTTTAAATTTGCTTTGGTTTCTTGGAATCTAGTGATCAGTTCAATGATCAAGGTGTGTGGACTTCATCTTGACAACTCCAATGCAATTCCTTATGTTTCAGAAACCAAGCGTGCTGCTAATATGCAGCATTTTCTAGAATGGTTGTTTGTTACTGTTTTTTGTTCCAGATTAATGTATATTATGTCACCACCCCTGCGTGCTCTCTTAGGAAAAGCTTAGTAACACTCTACTTTTAATGCCTGCATTTAGAAAAGAAGCAGAGAAAAAACCTCTGGTGTAATCTCTTGTGTTGTAGCTTGTATTCTGAGCAGGCCAAGGAGCAGGCCTTTTGTTTTTACAGCAGCATAATTTTTGCTAAATGTGCACAGTTTTTAATAGAAATTCAGATCTGAATGGTACTCTTGATATTTTTGAGATACAAAGTCATTTCTCCAGCCGCATTCAGCAGACTGGTTTTGAAGATGCAATCTCAGCAGTATAATAAAACTGACTCTCATAAATATGAGTGAGAAAGGAATGAACTTATGTCAAAGCTACGTGTCTCTTATGCAGTCCAGTGAATGGTAATCTTTGAAAGTCTGCCAACTGAAAGGCAAGGTAAGCGGATTTTGATGACCTTTTACCACCACAGCAAGAAGGACGAATAGAACACGAGTCTGGCAGCTGAGACACACTGACTCCCAAGCACAAAAGCTGTCAAGATGGGTTTTCTCTGAAAGGATGTTTAAGCACTGGAGTCCATGCTATCCTAATACCACTTGTTTTTCTGGAAAATAGATTTCTACTTTTCCAAAAATGTTTTTAAATACTTTTTTAAAGAGACTTGTTAAAGGATATTTAGTATATTAACACGCATAATGGTAACTTGTTAATATTCTGAGAGTAGTGAAAATGGAATGAGCTGTGTATCTCACAAATACCAACAAAAGACATTAAGGAGAGGAATAAAGATCTGCTAAATATAAGATATGTATTTATGTATGCTGTTTAGTTGTACACCGTAACTTTCCTCTGTATTAGGGTCTGATTTGTAAACATCTAGCTTTGATGGCACGGAAGCCTGCATGATGGACTTTAAGCTTCTGTGGGGTGGAAGCTAGTGTTGGTTTAAAGCTGAATTGGATCAGAAAGCATTGAACTACTAGTTTCATGTGAAGATATCTGTATCTTCGCTTAAAATGTTACAGAGTAACTCTTAACTGTGTCCTCATTGCATCTGACATGATTTAAGATGGCTGAAGTACTTTGCCTCTGTTTGTTAGTGATGCTCTTAGGAATGAGGTTTGTTTTTTGTTTGAGTATATAGTAGACCACCTCCTAGTAGACAATAAATGATCTTTTATTCATCTTCACCCAGCAGATTGGGGAAAGGGAAGTAATGAAGCATTGCAGAGATGCATTTTGGACTCCAAGCTTTTAGCTGCCATGAACTGCAATTTTTAACATGTATTTGTAACTTAATATTGTTTATAAAATACTAATTACCTGTAATGTGTGTTCTACTTGCCAATTAAAAGGAATGTTTTATTTCTGAAAACTGTGTGCACATTCGGAGTCTGTTTAGATTCACAGTGGCCACCAGGGTGCCTGTTGGCACAGTATCTGCTATTCAGAGTTGCACCATGGATGGGGGTCCTTGTGAGTGTCAGCTAATCTCTGTTGGGGCTGCCAAGTCCCATCCCCGCTCCTCCTCCCATCCCCACCCCTTTCTTGGATCACCATTGCACCCGTGGGACTCTGCAGTGAACCAGATTGGGCACCTGAGCCAGCCACAAACTACTCTAGCAAAGAAAGCAGTTACTGCTCGCCTACATCAGCCTTTTGAACTGGTTCCTTGTGCTATTACACAGCTGTTGCTGTGGGTGGGGTGAGTCCATGTTGAAAGGACAGGAGGAAAGAGTTGAGAGCACAGCACCCCGCATGTAGATTGGCTCATGACCCTGGGGAACCACCACCCTTCTGAATAGGGCCTGTTCTGCGGCAAAACCTTGGGCATGCTGAGGTTCCTGCAAGTCAGTCTTCTGGAGCTTAACCAGTTCTTTTTTGGGTACTCATGGACTAAGCTTTGGCTCTGAGGCATTGTGTGACAGCTGCACTCACCGGTTGCGTTGGGGAGTGTTTGCAGGAAGGCCAGGCGGTAGCCCGTCTGGGATAGAAAGCTGTTGACCAGCTCATTCCGTGTGTGTTAGTCTAGCTCAAGTTAACTCCTGCCGCTGTATTGGGTGTCTCTGTCACTAGAACACAGGCGTGCATTTCTGAGAAACTTCTGGAGAAGAGCTTCTGCAGGCATGCTCTAGCTGAGTGACAGTTGTGGTTTGACAGGTAGACCACAGCCAGGAAAGAAAACCAAGCTGATGGTGGAAGACACATCACCAGTGTCTTGGTGAAGGTGAACTTGACCACAACTATACAAGCATGTGTTTTTGCTGAGGAATTGTAAACCTTGTTTTAAAAACAAAAGTAAGATGAGGTAGTAAACTGACACAGGATTTGTAAGAAATGAGCAGAGTTAAATGCAAAATGACTATAACACCATTCCCAGGTCTGTCTCCTTTCCACTCGATCTCACCCAGTGTATACAATAATTTTGTTTTCCTGCTAACATGTCTTAGCTTAAGTCAATAGGAAATCTTTGAAAGCTGTTTTTCTTACGGTGTAACTTTAATTAACAGGGTTGGGGGCTGGGGGGTTGTGGTGGTAAAACTGGGCTTCTGCTACTTGCTTAGTGTCTGTCTCCTGTCTGTCTGCGGCATATGTTTCTGATGTTATCTTCAGAAATACTTGGCAAATCCTGCCCACAAGACAGATGACTTGATAGGGACACTTGGGACAGCATCCCTTATATCTGGAATGAAGAAAATAATATTAAAAAAAGAAAAAAAAAAAAAAGCATAGCCATAAGTAAGCATGTGAGGTCACTTTTCTTTCTTTCTCTATCCCAGCCTGAAAGGCAAGAAAATTATTTCTGACAGAAAAAAAATTAAGAAGCCAAGGTGTTCTCTCCTGAGACTCCTGGTGCCAAGGAAGATCCTGGTGCCTGTTTTCTCCCTCACTGAACCAGCGTGCTAGGGCACGGCTGACCTGGCGACAAGACCCGAGTGGCCCTGGTCTGTGTCCGTTCCAGTTCAAAGGAGGTGGTGTCTCTGGCCAGGCAAATGTCTTTATGCATTTCAGAAGAGTTCAGACTGGGAGATTTGGCTGTGAAACTGCACACCCGAAGTCAAGATTCCTGTTAAAGTTTCCTAAGGCAATGGGCGTGAGTTTAGCTGACAGATAAAAATCTTGTGTGTGTGTGTGTTTTCTAGGTGGATGCAGCAGAGATGGAGAGCTGCTGCTGCAGTGATGACAAATCACTGTGAAGGTCTTTTCATGCTGTGGCTGTTGTGTCTGAAGCTGTGCTGGGATGCAGCATTTGGGCAGCAGGAGCGACAAGCCTTGCAAGTGCCAGTGATGTCTCAAAGCTCTGTTGGCACCAGTGGCACTTGGTTCTTCACCCTGTAAGATTTTAATGAGGTCTGTGTATGGATGAGAGCGTTGAAGAACATGGTTCTTGTCCGGAAATGTTTCCTTGTAAAAATTGCCAAATGGAAAAAAAAGAAAAGCACAACGTGCCATGGGCATGGCATGCAGGTAATGCAGAGAGCACCCAGGGCCCACCACACCCTTACAAGGCTCATGGGAGTAAGTGTCAGCAACTGCCATCTGAGAAGCTCTGAGAAATTGGTGAGAACGTCTGTCTACACGAGAAGCTGATTTTGGGGCTAAGGCGGCTGGCTGTGCGACACAGCTGTCTGAGGCACATGAACGTCGATATGATTCCCATCTCCATCCCTTCTCTGCAATACTCCACGCAGTTTCAAGGAGGTCATTTCAACTTGTAATTCTCTAAGCATGCTTATAAAGGACTCTGTGAGAAGCTGGCCTGGATAGCAGGAGAACGCGTGAGCCCTGCCAGTCCCCGTTACTAGCTCCAGGAAATGGGTGCCACGGGAGGACTCTGACATAGGGCAGTCATGGACTGGGACTGATGCTGAGCAGTGCTTGGAGGTAAAGAACAGCATCTTCCCACGAGCCACCTTCTGTATTCATTACAGCTGGAGACAAAGGCTAGCAGGCTGACTGGAAAAGACATTTCTTTCCGGCTCTGAGCTAAAGTCATTAAACAGTAAATAAATTATTCCAAAGCTCAAGTGAGTACCGAGGAAAAGAAGATTTTAAGACCAAAGTGCTGTATTCCTACGTGTGTAAGATTCTGGATCTGGACTGTGTAAGAAAAGACTGGAAGGAGCCATCAGGGAGCAAATAGTTGTTCTGGGTTCCTAAAACAAACTAAAATAAAACAGGATCCTAGGAGATTCATCCTAAGGATGGAAACCAGCCCTCTTAACTTCTGAACACATCACACATGCCTTTCTGTTTCAATTCCTATTTCTCATCTACTGCTCCATTTGAGTCACCCTAATTTACCCGAAATGTTCAAATCGTTGGGTTTATCTTGTTTGCGCATAACTATTACTTTTAACCACAAAGTTGCCTGGCGTTAGCAGGTTTGCCTGCAAAGTTAATGTGGATGTGTTGATTAAACAAAAGGCTCACCAGCAGCCTGGGCTAAGTGTAAAGAACTTTTAAATGGTAAAAAGTTTTACTAGTTTGAAAACATTGCTATGCTGAATCTTGCCAAAAACATACCCCAGATGTACACAGTTCTAGTTAATGTCGAGGGCAAATTCTCTCCACAAGTGTGGGGCCTGTATGGTGTCTGACTAATTTTACTAAATTCACTCAACATCTTTAAACTCTGTCACAGTTGCACTGTTCTGCCCTAAAGCTGTCAAAAGGAAATATGTTTTTTATTATTCACTTGAGGCCACAACAAATGTACTGCCTGGATATTGACTCTTACATGAAAACAAGTAAGTCTTGATAGAGGTGACAATGGTACACAGGGTTGCCATCAGCTACCAGAGGTATGAATAAATAAATGTATTTGATTAAGAAAGGCGCTTTGGATAAGTGTAGCCATGTATTTCTCTGGGGATGAAAACTAAAACTGTAGTCATCATGTTTTTGTAGAGAAATCTGCTGACACGAATAAAGGAAGGGAATTTCATGAATTACAGGGGAAGAAAAAGGGAAATAACTCACTTGATGAAAACAGAATCTGTGCACAAAGAAGGCCACCATGAAACACCTTGTGTTTTGCTTTCTTTAGCAAGTTTTTCTGTGTTACAGCTCAGCTATAATTCCTACTTCTCATCCCCTCCAGAAGCCATCCTCTGGCAGACATGACATCCTATTCCCGTGATGGGAATGATTGGAGAGGCTCACAGCTGAGAAAAGCAACTTTAAAAATAGTCAGGCTCATCTGTGATGTCTGGAGATGCAAATGCTTCGCCTCCCGCTGAGCCATGGTGTTATGAGGACAACCCCATGGTATGTTTTCTTTGGTGGTAAAGCCCCCTTAAAGAGATTCCTGCTCCCCCGCCCTGGCTGTGGTTCAGCATCCCATTAATAGCATTGATGCAACTGAATTGGTGAAATAATTGGGACCTGGTAAAAGAGGGGGAGATTTTGGAAAAACCTGGACCATCTACCTGACCAGGTTTACAGCAGTCTCACAAACGCTTGCCTCAGCACATCTGATGAGGTGGGGACAAGCCACTCCAGACAGCTTTGCCACCAGAGTGTATGCGTCTCCTAGCTATGCTCCAAATCCATTTGCTTCCAGCACCATACCACCTCATGCTCCCTACTAAAATCGCTGATGCACAGCGCCATCTGTGATACCACCTTCTTCTGAAGCCAGTATCACCTGCATATGTCTCCTCCCCCCCCAAAATGCACTATTGTTTAGGTGATCCCTGTCCCCATCTCTTGTGTTGTCTACGTGGGCAGCCCCGTGGCTGCTCAAGGGTCCTGCTGTCCTTCTAGCATGAGAACCAGGCAAAAACAGAGAGAAATTCAGCTCCAAGACCAGGCTCTTCCTGCTGGCACAGTACCATGTTCCCTCAGGGTTCACCAAGGAGCTGGACCTGCGATAGTTGCTCCGGCACTCTCCCCACCAGCTCTTTGCTGCCTTGAATTCCCCTGGTGAAGACTGCCACAGGCTCAGAGGCAGGTTTCCCACTGGAGAGCTGGGCCTGAACCTCGTTTGTCTGAAAAATGTCATCCTTTTTTTACTCCAGAGAAGTCCCCTTGGCATAATTTCTATTGAAGGTGGCAGGAAGGGGGAATGGTAAGCAAAAAGCCCTCGAACGGAGTAGTTTGGAGAACCCTCTGAGGGGACTTGGCACTGATTCTCAGCAGAGGGTAGCTGGTGCCCAAGTTATTTTGGTGTCCGAAAGAGAGAGCTGATGCTTTCGCTTTACTTAGAAGTTGCGAGTGCAGAAGAGAGGGGGTGAAGAAACTGGCAGGCCTGGGCAGGTAGTATCAGCCAGTCGCATTAAGAAGAGGAAGGCATGGGGGCTGGAGGAAGGCAGGACCCATCCTCCTGGGCTGGAAGGGACCAAGTGCCCTGGTGTTTGAGAGCCTGCTCGG